GGCCCAACATTCCTTTCCCATTGTCTGACCAATCACAGCCTTAGTACAGGAATGCAGAACTTCTTCGCGCCACACGATTCAAAATGGCGGACAGCTTGGAGAGTGTGTTAAGCGATGTGGCTAAAATTTTCAAAATACCTTCATTTAATGAGCATCAAAAGACCGCCTTACWGACTGTTGTCAAAGAMAAATGTGACTTATTCGTAAATTTGCCAACGGGCTTTGGAAAATCATTAATATTCCAAGCRATACCGTTTATTTTCGATAGCCTGGAAAATAACAAAGGGCACAYCGTTGTTGTTGTTTCACCCCTCATAAATCTTATTCAMGACCAAGTAGAACGTCTAAAACAACTCGGCATTTCTGCAGTCAATCTAAGTGAYATCGAAGACGAGAAAGAGAGGAGGCGAGTGGAAAGTGGCTGTTTTCAAGTTGTTTATGGTACACCAGAGGCATGGCTCCAAAACGAACGTTGGAGAGATATGCTAAAAAACTCAACTTTCACTTCAAAGCTTCGTGCCGTGGCAGTTGACGAAGCCCACGTAATCAAACAGTGGTAAGTATTCTAACTAATATTTCTCTTCAGCATTCATTTGGAGTACTTATGGAGAGCTATGGTCTTTGTGATGTTGTTTTTAGTGTTTCACGTGTAGCTTGTATTTATTACATTATTAATTGCTTTTCTTAACGTATGSATTCTTGCGGTACCATTCGGATCGTACCATTCTTGCTGATGTAAATAAACATGTATTAACCAAGTGATCAATTTTTGTCGTTTCTTTCAGGGGTATATCAACAAGTAACAAACTTGCACCGTTTAGAGAATGTTATTCTCGACTGCACGAGTTTAGAGCCTTAACAACGTCTGTACCAATAATCGCACTGACTGCCACAGCAACTACAACAACTAAAAATGTAATATTCAACGTTCTGATGATGAGACATCCAAAGATCATTTTTGAGAGTCCAAACAAGGGAAATGTARCATACTCAGTAGAATATATGAACAAAGACTATGAACTAGAGTACTACTTCGAATGGCTTGCTGATGAATKAAAAGAAAATAAAGAGAACTGCAAGAGAACAATCATTWACTGCCAAACAATTAAACAATGTAGTGTACTTTATGGAACAATGAAAGGTATGGTTGGTGAAGAYTTGTGCTTGGTACATGGGGACACAAAAACAGCAATGATTGAAATGCTTCATTCATGCACCCCAAAGGCCAATAAAGAACGCATCCTGTCATCTTTCTCAGAGGATAGTGGCTCTGTAAGAATCCTTATAGCCACTATTGCTTTTGGTATGGGGGTAGATTGCAAAAGAGTAAYACAAGTCATTCACTTTGGACCCTCAAAGAATATTGAGTCTTACACTCAAGAAACAGGACGRGCTGGGAGAGATGGCTCACAATCCTTTGCATACTTACTTTACAATGGAGTCATGTTGGGACAAATTGAAGCTGACATCAAGTCATATGTTTTGAATGAGCAGTGTCGCCGTAAAGCAATTTTAGATAATTTTGATGACAGATCTTCATTTAATGAAACCAAAGAACGTCATTTTTGTTGTGACATTTGTGCTAAAAAGTGCTCATGTGGTTTAACAGAGTGTTGGAAGTTGACATCATTTCCAGCAAAGAGTGTTGACAATAAGCAAATCAATTTGCGAGAAAGAGAAGTCACTAAGTTACAGAGAGAAAATGTCCAAAATGAACTGACTATATACTACAAGACATTATTAAGAAAACTACTTAATTCAACAGCAAATGCAGATGTAAAAACACTCACTTCAATACCCTTTCTCATTGGTTTCTCAGATAAACAGATTGAACAAGTGATGRATAACTTGATACATTTATTCACATTAGAGGATGTATGTCAATGTGTTGAGATTTGGGATATACAGCATGCACACAAGATCCTTGGTATTATCAAAGAAGTCTTTGAGGACACTGATGTTGACATTCATGCATGCAATGAAGACTTTGAATTAGATGACTTGTTTGCTGAAGATTGGGAACAGTTGATTGAAGATGAAGACCTGTKTGAAATGGCAGCAGATAATTTGTCCCTATCTTTATGGCAGGATTCTTTGCAATCTGCAACAGAAAGCAACACCTCAGATGTTGGTATATCCCAAGCAGTATTGGAAACACTTGAAAGAGGTCTAGTCTCTAATAAAAAATGACATTGGTAACTGAATAGTTATATCTTAWTTTTTTTTATTAGAGATGCAAACTCTCTTCAATGTTTCTTCTTGGAATAGACCAACATCTAAGTTGTTGCCTCTGTATCASATGGTATATTTTTATTATTAAAGTAAGTGCACTTAATCATAGTAACTCAATCAATGAAAATACAAGTACTGTTTTTAACACTTGTCCAAACATGCAGGCTTTTCAGAACTTCATGAAGCCAAGTACTAAAGAAAGGTTAAAAAACATACTTGTAAATGCAAAGCTAAGCAGCAAATTCTACAAACTGGCATCCTTTAAAATGAACAAATGCTAAAATTTATTCAATAGTTACTTGCTTACTTGACAACCAATGAGATAAGGTACACAGTTKACATGTTATTCTTACACCTGCTCTGTTGTATTACAAACAAAAATATTATGCTAATTGAAACAAGATGATTAAGGCAGTTTTTTAAGTTTTCATTTCTTTTATTAACATACAATGATTTATTATTTTTCTACTGGACAGTTTTGTCCAAATGACCCCAGTTAGTCTGTCTGCATTGAGAAAGTATGGACATATAAAACAATTTTATAAACTTCTACATGTAGACAAAATGAATTTTTGTTTTCATAGCCACAAGCTTTCTTTAATACATGTACATCAGTTAATTACACGAGAATGAAAAAACTCAACATATTATAATATATACATTTTTACATTTTGAATATCTTGGTTTTGTTAGCAAATGTTTGACCTGGGCCTTATGTATTGCACTGACACTACTTTAAGTAATGAAAATGTTAACTTAATGCAGTTTTGGTCAATAATGGCAGTGTTAATACAATACTATATGATAAAAATTTGGTTACTTACTGAAAATTTTCTTCCTGTACACATTGCAGTTTTGTTGGACTTATCTAGCTCTAATTCCAACGTCAACATTTTTTTTGTGCTTATTCAGCCAGGCATATACTTCAGAGATGTCAAGGTTGTCCAGTCGGTCTCTTTGAAAGTCTCTGTAATAKGTGAGGGTGCGACCTGGGAGATTCTCAAAGACATTTTCACTAATGACTCGTTTTARCAGCTCGTCAAGATCTTTCTCTTCTGGACTTTTAGTGTGCCTTCCTGACCTTGAAACTCTTGACAGCATCTCATCAATTTTTCCAATGATTGATCTTRTTGCAGACTCTGAATTACTTATTCTGKAAACAGCTTTTTCGGTGACATTAGGCCCAAGATTCTTTATAGCTTGCTTTATAAAATTGTTGCTAYGTTCAACGTCTAAGTCAAGTGGGATGTTGTTACCAGCCTTGTTTGTATTGTTCACTGATCTATTCCATATGAACCTCATACTATCTCTGGGTGTCAGCAAAGCATATATCAAGAAGAACTGGTAGATACACTCTAAAGCATACTTTGTACTATGTGTGGCATCAGCTTTGCAGTACAYCATTATGTATTTATACTGCCTGATCACTCTTTGCCCATCTCCTTCACTAACAGCATCCAAAAAGTTGAGAAATAAGAAACCATCTTGTAGGAGAGCGCAATTATAATTGAAGACATCATCCGGAGTAAGCTTTGTCTTTTGCTCATGTTTTTTTGGMCTTACTGATGACAGCACTGCTTGTTCAGGAATGATTGGTGGAGGCTCATGTGTCTGTTCATGCCTTCTTCGACTTTTGCCATCATAAGCAAAAGACTTCTTGCAGCCTGTGAACCTGCAAGGAAATCTTCCATCATCTGTTAGCTTTTGATTGTTTATGATGTTTTCCCTTTCTTGTTCTAAAAAGACACTACTGACCAGCTGATCGACATGGYTTTCTTGAAAAATATACTCGTCTACTATGGATTGGGACACAGAAAGTAAATAATTATACTTCTGAGCCTTACTTGCATTCTTGGGAGGCAGTGGATGCTTCTTCGGTTGCTCAGATTTGTCTTTAATACCAAGCACCTTCATTGCAGCTGCAATGACTCTGGATTTGAGAACAATTGTCAAAAAATCCCGATTTGGCCTGTAGCTTGACTTCGTATCCGCAGTCACATTTCTTCGATTAATAACAGTCCTGTCCGAAAACAGGGTACAGTTATCAACCTCAGATTGGCCACTGTAAAATCTCTTATATATCATCTATAACAAATTGGGAACTTATAAGTAAATATGTACTGATGAGATTAGAGGAAAGGTCATCTATTCTCCTTTACAGGGTGCCTTTTTACTACTTACTA